AAAATTATCCACTTAATCACAAGTTACATCGTTGTTAAAACTCACATAACAACAATGCACAATAATACTTGGGAGTTGATTGATCTCCCATCGGGTAGCAAACCTTTGGGATGTAAATGGATCCTTAAAAGGAAGTATAAAGCTTATGGAGATATTGATAAATATAAGGCCCGATTGGTTGTAAAAGGGTTTAAGCAAACAGAGGGATATGATTTCTTTGATACATATTCTCCTGTAACTCGAATCACGTCTATACGTGTTCTCATTGCAATTGCTGCAATGCATGACCTTGAGATTCATCAAATGGATGTAAAAACGGCCTTCTTAAATGGAGACCTCGAGGAGGAAATTTATATGGAACAACCCGAGGGGTTCGTTGCACCTGGAAAAGAGAAAAAAGTGTGTCGCTTGGTTAAGTCGCTTTATGGGCTAAAACAAACACCTAAGCAATGGCACGAAAAGTTTGACAAAGTGATGTTGTCGAACGGATTTAAAATCAATGAGTGTGACAAATGTGTCTATATTAAAGGTAACGTCGATTTATTCGTGATCATATGCCTGTATGTTGATGACATGTTAATCTTGGAAAAAAATAATGGTTTAATTCTTAGTACCAAGAAAATGTTGAAAAATAATTTCGACATAAAGGATATGGGAAAAGCCGATGTAATCTTAGGGATTAAAATCTCTAAAAGTTTGGAAGGAATTATTTTATCACAATCCCATTATGTCGAAAACATCTTGAAGAGGTTCAATGCATTCAATAAGCCTCCAGCTAAGACGCCTGTTGATTTAACTCAACACTTAGCTAAAAATCGAGGTGAACCAGTGTCTCAACTAGAATACTCACGAGTAATTGGGAGTTTGATGTATTTGATGAATTGTACTCGCCCCAATATAGCATATTCTGTGAGTAAACTAAGTAGATTCACGAGTAACCCGAGCAATGACCATTGGAATGCACTTATTCGGGTACTTAGGTATTTGAAACATACCTTGAGTTATGGAATAACATATACGAGGTATCCAGCGGTACTTGAAGGGTATTGTGATGCGAATTGGATATCCGACACAAAAGACTCCAAGTCCACTAGTGGTTTTGTGTTCACTATAGGTGGAGGAGCGGTGTCATGGAAATCTTCTAAGCAAACGTGTATTGCTAGATCCACGATGGAGTCCGAGTTTATATCCTTGGACAAAGCCGAGGAAGAAGTTGAATGGCTTAGGAATTTTCTTGAAGATATTCCATGCTGGACAAAACCGATTCCCGCTGTAATGATACATTGTGATAATCAATCGGAAATTGGAAGGGCACAAAGTAGCTTGTACAATGGTAAGTCTCGACATATACATCGAAGGCATAATACAATAAGACAAATGATCTCGAGTGGGGTTATTTCGGTTGACTACGTGAAGTCAAAGGAAAACCTAGCGGATCCGCTTACTAAAGGCATTAATCGAGATCAAATGTACAAGTTGGTTAGGGGAACGGGATTAAAATCCACAACATAAGAACAGTATTAGCGGTAACCCAACCTTGAGAATCGGAGATCCCGAAACCTTGGTTCAATGGGAAAACTAAGTTTTGAAAGTTCAGTGAAACACTTGAAAGTTTCACCCATTCCCAAGAACCGTCAAGTGTTAAAATATGCCTAAGTGGTGAGGTTAAGTCAAGGACTTTTAATGATTCCTATACCTACAGGTGGAGTAAGGCAGAATACTCTTTATAGGAGAATCACCTTTGTAAGTGAGAAGTAAATTGGCCGCTTCAACGAACACTTACTAAACCGAGATATGGTCCAAGGCCGAAATGGACACAACGTGAGAACAAGAAATTGTTAGAGTTGTTATTGTGTGAGTATTATTATCTTGGTGCACGCAAATAGCCGGTAAGTTCAAAGCATCGCGCTACTAACCGGCTAGTATATCCGATAGTATTTCACTAAAGAAGATTCAAAGCCACAAGCTATCTATCCTGATGCAATGATGGTTCGCTGGAACTCTCAAGTATTGCATACATGCATTAATTTCATTCATGTGGGGGATTGTAAGAAAAAAATGGTTTTGTACCGATTTAACGATTCTATTTTTCGTAAGTAAAATACTTAGAAAAGTCTCAAAACCTTTTTAAGGTGAATGAGAAATTAATTCTAAGTGTTGTATTTTAATTAATTGAGTTTAAACAACTCAAAGGTTGTATGGTTCACAAAAATTATATTTTAATAAATGTTTGGATAAACTAAACGAGCCATAAAGATGCATTATGTATGCTAGAATTGTAGAGGGGCTCGTTGGGGACAATTAGGAAAAAATGGAACTCGATTCCGAGTCCGTATGAGCTCGTACGAGCCCGCGGAGTACGGGCGCGCAACTGGCTGCGGAAATCGAAGGGTTGCAACCCTTGGTGACCATAAGGTATCTTTTGGCCACTAGATACATCCGTTCTTGTTCGGGCACGTCCCAAAAGGTGTCTTTTGATACTTAAACCTCTTGGAGGTGTCTCCTTACATCTATAAATACCCACTAACATGAAATCATTCAAGACATCAAATAATTCCATAACTTTTGCATCCTTTTTACAAAGTTCATATTCATCTTGTGTTCTTTGTATTCTTTCCTATCTTGAGAGTTCCGAAACTTAAGTATTGTTCGCCGAAGGTTTGTGTATTTGAGTTACCACTATACACAAATCAAAAGTCGTTGTATCTTGGAGGCGTTAGCCGTGAACCGTGGGTAATATACGGGGCTATTTCGTCTTAAGGAGAGCGTATCTTACGTGCCTCGACTTTGTTCGTTTTACCAAAATTCCTTCTATTTCTTAAGCCATTTTCTTGAAATTCACATACAGAAACAGAAATTATAAACTACATATATCTTACCAATTAATGATCCAGTCACATTTAATTTACCCGAAAATATCTTATAAACTGTTGAATTGGATATTAGGTATATTTGTAATATTTTGTGGATGATAGTTATTTTATAAATAAAGTTGAATTGGATGTATAAGTGTAACATAAAACACATCTAATGGTAAGGGGTGTAAATTCCTCTTTAAAATATAAGTCATATAGCCCATTGTTTACTATAAATTTGATAGGCAAGGGGTAACCGAGCTACCCGACTCGGGTCGATCTCGAAGGAAGGCTATTCGGAGCTTTGTCTACTAGATGATCGTCCAAATCACAAAAATCGAAAATAAAATCCTAA